GCTCCGACGAAATAACAACGTGAGACAGGTTGCAAAAGCACGCGACGGCGTGGAAGTGATTGCGAAATGACAAAACAGTATGAGCTCGAGCTAGGATTAAAAAAACAGAGTACTAGCTCGAAACTGATGGAACCTAAGAGTATTTCACTATGCCAAGAGAAACAAAGAGGGACCATGCATGATGACACGAGTTACTCTGATACTATGCGACAACAACTCGGACGGGCATACCAAGCGAAATGACAGTAGGGGTTACTTCTCGAACGCGGAACGGCAGGAGGGCCGTACGGGGAGTGCGAATAGATAGAAAGATAGGCAACCAAACTGGGGTGGGTTCCTCTAAATGCCATTCGCACTATTCGTACTGCTAGTGAGTTCCTCGCCTTTTGCGGCATCTGAAATGATAGGCAACCATTCGCACTATTCGTACTGCTAGTGAGTCCGAAAAGTTCGTGCTTGCATGTGTTGGCGATGTCCTGTGGAAGCTTTTGTGTTACTGGTGGAGCTGGGCCAGGCTGTCCGAAATGATGGGCTCCGGAGTTGTTGTGGCGAAGCTGCCCTCCGGTGTTCGCCTGCTGCGAAGTGTCCAAAATGAACCTTGTGGTCTTCTCCGTAGTGCAAACCACGTACATCAGGTGCTACTCCCTCCTGGCACCGTGGCAGGCTGCTTAGCGGGCCGGGTTTAAAGAAGTTGACCGCTAATCCATCCTATATATATTAGAAAATTGGACTACCTGCGTCCGCAAGCAATATGCAGCCTGTTCGGTTGGCTGGTTCGTATCGTTGCTGATTCGTTTATGTGAGAGAGAAGTACTGTTGGCTGGTTCATATGAATAGTATCCATGTGAGGGGGTTGGCCAGCCAGCCCAGCCAGCCAGCCCCAGCCGATCGGGCTGATGACATCCGCCACCGGTGGCGGCGGCGGCTTCAAAACTCACTACCTGATCACACTAAATTTTAGTCCATGTTATGTCGAAAGTTTGGATGCTAATTAGGAGGATTAAATGAGTTAATTATAAAATTAATTACACAGATAGAGACTAATTTATTAAGGCTAATTAATCTATTATTAGCATATATTTACTGTAGCACAATATTGTCCAATCATTGACTAATTAGGCTTAAAAGATTCGTCTTGCAAGTTAGTCTCAATCTGAGCAGTTAGTTTTATAACTAGCCTATATTTAATACTCTATACATGTGTCAAACATTCAATGGGACATGAACTAAAATTTAGTCGGTGGAAAAAAAACACCCCCAGCTCCTGTGCCGCCGGAGGCCTGCGATATTTTGATCCAGGTATGTTGAGGCAGTCCCAATATCCTTCCTGTTGTGATTGATATGTTTATTCTAATCTAATTGCACGGGGAGCCCTAGCTTCTCTGATCTCGTCGACGATCATTCACGCACTGTGTTGATTGGATGGAGTTCAGAACTGGCTGTTGGGCTACATACCGAGATTTTGTGGCGCGTCTAGGAGCATCCTGACTGGAATTTAGGTATAGTAATCTGCCTAATTAATCTTTTTGTGTGCTAGATTTGTTTATCCCGTCTCCTTGCTGGCAGCTGCATGCAAATCGGGAGAAGGTTGATCCATGCGCTGATCCGATCCCCATGAATATTATGGATCTAATAAATTGGCATATGTCCTGTATCTGCTCTGATCTTGGTGCTGGACTGGCAAACAGGTGCTAGATCCAATCTCTGTCCTCTCATTTCATCCAGATCAACAAGGTTAGAGATGTGGAGAGTATGGGGATGCATGAGTGCGTTCGTATTATTCAGCGCACTATCCTTTCGTGATTCATCTATATACGTTCAGGTTGCATCTCATCTCATCCTGGCGCTGCACTGCCTTTTTGCATGCGTGTGACGGCAAGTATGAATTAATTAATGTATGATGCTCATTCGTTCCTAACACATGCTACCATTCCAGGTGTTGGTGCTACACCGGTGCCATGTGATTTCTGGTGACCATCATCTCGGTGGTTCGACGTCGCTAGGACTAGCAAGCAAGATGGGCTAATTTAATTTAATTTAAATACTCAGTATATACTACTAGCTTCTTGTGCTAATTTAGTTTGGTTGTAGTAGATGCACTCGGATCACTATTTTATTCAGGTTTGGTTATTAAAAATTGAGGAACCCTATGTAATCCTGTTGAATAAATGTCAGTATCAAAGACTGGTCAAGAGATTTTTTGTCAGTATCAAAGACTGCTCAAGAGATTTTTTCCATCAATATTTTATTCAGATTTGGTTATTGAAAGTTTGTATTTTTTCCTCGTATGTCCATTTGGATTGTTTAAAAATGGAAGAAAAGTATACAGTGGTACTTCATCCACAACTTGGTATACATTGATACTCAAATCTAAATCGTGTATATGGTCATACTCACGTATAAAACTTTGGTATACAACAATACTCAAATCTGAATCGTGTATCTGGTCATACTCACATCTGAAACTTGTTATATAATGATACTCAAACCTGAATTGTTCACACAAGTATACACGCATACTACTATGTTATACAAGTATGCGCGCATACTTCTAAAAAATTAGGTATATATACATACTAGTATTTAATGCACACATTTAAAAATATATACCCAACCGCATGCCAACCCAACGTCAAAAAGAAACAATTAAACCTGATCCGTTTTTCACGGAGGTTATCAGCATGCACCTCACTCTTAACCCGTTAGCTTCGCTAATTGACCGGAGCCTGTATGCAGCTTGTTCGGTTGGCCGGTTCGTTTCGTTGCTGGTTCGTAAAGAAGTACTGCTGACTGGTTTGTGTGAGAGAAAAATACTGTTCTGACTAAAAATTTACGATCGTTTACGACAAGCCACAGCCAAATGAACAGGCTGTGGTGTGTATACGGGAGTAGTTACTCCCGGAAGTATAGAAAATATATATATATATATATATATATATATATATATATATATATATTGACGTACTATTCTGTAGCTGATCGCAGAATAAGTTATTCTGTGGTCACTTTGAGTTACGATAATTACTATACTAATTTATGAGATTATGGTAACTCTCTCATAAGTGATTTACTGTAGCATTATGGTAAGTATCATCTTGAATTATAGTAACTCATGTATCGTAAATGTGTATTATCATTATCGTAAATTGGTACAAACATTATCGTAAATCAAGGTGGTCATAGAATAAGTTTTATATATATATATATATATATATATATATATATATATATATATATATATATATATATATCTTCAAGGGTCGAACCTTGTGGCGAAATGATTTCATGCAAAACGTAAAGCTTGAAAGTGACTAACAAAAAAATTATCTTGAGCTGCGAATGGTGCGGGCCAAAGCTTTGAGTATGTGTAAATTCGGTGCTGGTGCTAACTCTGGCTGACAATTGACAAAGACTATAAAACAACGATAGCGAAGTGGTAAGCACAGATGATAGTTAATATGTTCCTCTGGCCCATTATGAAACATACGAGCGAAAACCACACATTTGTGGTGAGAATAGGTAATATAGTAAACAGCTGAAACATATGTTTTTTTTAATAATAGAATGGGCCAACTGGAAGACTTAACTTTTTTTTTGAATTTGGAAGACTTATCTTTCTGAACAGGCAGCTCGGGTTTGTAGGCAGGAGTAATCTGGAAAGAGCAGGTAGCGCTAGAGTCCAGAGGCGTGACTACACGACTTCGCTAGAGAAAAGGCGCATGCATATGGCCATGTTGTCGAAAGCAAAATTAGTTTGAACGCAAACTGAAAAATGATGATACTTATCTGCTCGCTGGTGTTTCAGATGGCTAAGCCTTCGCCTGGGCTGTAAGCGGAACAAAAACTCTTCTGATGTATTAAAATAAGAACGCGCCCGCGAAAAGTGGGACTTGAATCTTGCGAAATGAAGTGCCGGTTGCAATCTTCTGTATAGTGACAGAGACGTGTGTGCTGAACCAAAGCCAAATGAAGACTGTTCGCCTGCTTGGCTTATAAGCCGTATTTTTTTTAGCTAACGAAGAGTATTTTTCCTCTCACAACAAATTAGCCAATAGTACTTTCAGCCATGGCTTATCAGCCAAGCGAACAGGGTAGTTGGTTGTTTGCCGATGTTAAGATGAAAACTCCATGTGCCTTTGCCGGAAAGCTAAGACGGATTGATAGATCATAGTTGCGGTACTGTGAAATTAACTACTGACGTTAAAGTGATATTTAATCTAAAAAGGCACAGTTCGTGAAATTGATAGTCACAGAGAGCGCGGCGTCGTAGGCTCACTGTCACGCACGTGTCTATCAAACATATTTTTTCTACAATGGATGAATAACGAAAAAGAATATGAAATCAGTTCCGATATATAGTAGGAAAAAATTCAACCATCCAAGACATGGATGTGAGAGGAGATTACCGAGCTCCATGCACTATGTCCAGTCCCGTATTTCTGTCCCTGTTCTCGTTCTCCTACTGCAAGATGCAGCCTGTTCGCTTGCTCATAAATGATCGTAAATTTCTAGCTGGAAACAGTGTTTTTCTCTCATGCCAAACCAGCCAGCAGTAAATAATTCACGATACGATACGGCCTCCCGAACAGGCTGATGATTTCATGGATCCTGTATTCCTGTCCTCGTTCCCATTGAGCACGGAATGGAGACCCTTCTCAGGGGAAAGGAAAGAAAGGAAGAGCAGACAAGTGATATCTTGCAGCAGTCACACGGCCTCTTGTAATCGCGACAAGTTAACTGAACATCAAGAGTGGGGTTCAGCCATAGTTCACGCAAGTGGCCAACACCATTATTACAGTTTCAGTACAGGACAATGCATCAAATACGGGTACTGGTTTTAGAGTAATATTAATTATTGGCCCCTGATCTAAAACACCCCCTAATTTGCAGGCTTCTACATTGTAAACGCACGCTCACTGTCACTGATGAACTGTAGTAATACATCAAGGGATCTGCTTCTTATAAGACGGCTGCGTGCTTCCAGCCATGCCAAGCTATCCTCAGAAACCCTGATCACAAGAATCCTGCTCATAGAAGGGGCATTTCAGCAGGATGTAGTAAGATAAATTCAGAACAAAACCCGGGGAAATGCAAAAAGCAACCGAAAAGAGAGATAAGGAACCCACTATCTCAAAGTACAATATATATCGTTTGCCACGGACAGGAACGGGATAGGAAAAGCAAAAGGAGGCAAAAGAAACATCTACACCCGGCGGCGGCTATCATATGAAATTTTTAGCAAAAAACAATCTGATAAACTTGCGTGTGAGCCTTTTTTTTCTCTGGTTTGATGAAAACGAACCTTTACATTTTAAATCACAAAACCGTTTTATTATAAATTATAGATAGAGACTTCTCGGTGTATTACATTTTTTAAATCCAGCTTTGGACATGGATGTGAGTGGCTATGTGAGATTGTTACCTCTGGAGTGAATGTGAGACCAACTTTGATTTCTCCGCGGTATTCTTCATATTTCACAACACTGTAAACAGTTGTAGGGATGCTTCCTTCTATATAAACTGCTTCCAGAGGAATCCTGCAAGAACCGAGCACTCGATTGAATTAAACACCGCAAACGTTAAAATTTGAATCCCAAAACATCTTCAAAACATGCAAACCGCGAGAGGGAGGCAAACTACCATCACTGTACATGGTTTATCACTCAGTAGTTGCAGGTCGGATTGGTCCAGCTACAAGCCTACAAATTACAAAATGTAATTACTTACGTTGCTTCACCAACAAAAATCATCATCGGTGCCACCGACACTATCCAGGAGCTTGATGAATAGCTCTGTTGCGCCATCGGAGACGGTGAACACAAAGGTCTCATTCGATTCAGGTTCACATCCTTTGCCTGCAGTGTACAAGCAGATCAAGTTACAAATTGCTAGGGAAGCCAAGGGTTGAAGGATATATAGTATTAACATTTAGCACTAAGAAACCATCCATATGGCATAAGGTACAAATTCACAAGTAACTTTCAAAACAGAGAAATTCACCCGCTGTCCTCAAAGTTGTCCCAAAGCCCCAAAATGTTTTTTTTTTGGCTCCCTCAATTCTAACAGGTATGATCCAGTTCTCAACGGGCATTTACCCGACTTGCTATCCTATGTGGAATGACAGATGGGACCCACATGTCAGTAGCAAGACCCAACTTAGATAAATCGTATCTTTTTTATACGACCTCGGATGGAGATGATTTTTTTTATGAAGATTGTAGCTCATGACGGTATGAAATGGCACCAAATAGAAAATCTGCCTATATTTGTTTTTTATGTGATTGTGTCATTGTGTGGACTTGCCAATTTCAAGGTGAAGCTAAAACTCTCAAGCTATTTGCACTGATTTATTCCTCCACTTTTCAGATATTCGTTCACACATTTTGAGCCACGTCCCGCTAATGAAAAAGTAGCATACAGATGCACAATTCTCATAAGAAGCTAAAACTCTCAAGCTATTTGCACTAATTTATCCCTCCACTTTTCAGATATTTGTTCACACATTTTGACCCACGTCCGCTAATGAAAAGTTGCATATAGATGCACAATTCTCATAAGAACGATTGAGAAAACAGGTTTGTTCCATACCTGCATGAAAATAAACTTGAACAATGGTCTTAGTCAAATACCGCAGTCCCAACCCACCATGCTTCCAAAAATGTAACATGCCAAGATACAACGTTAGAATGATTTTGCTACAAAAGCCATCAAAACCCAATGGTACGTAGAACCTAAACTCTAGACCAAATGACTTGAGTTGAATTAGCATTCACCAATCACCATGATCCATGATAGAACCAGTGTGGAGATCTACATGAAACAGAGCCTAAAGTTTTGCAGATCAAATAAGTTGCATTATCCCATGTAAAGAAGCTAACCATAAGTTCCAATTTTTATTATTCAGTGAGCTAATCACAATGATCTCAAATACTCAATTCAGCCACCAAATCCAGGTCATCATCCTCTTTAGTTGCCTGATCATCTATTTGTCAAAATGAGGCAACGCCCACTGATTAAATTTGGATGATGAGCTAGAGTTGGAAGATGATCAGGCAAATACCATTGTACACCTTCATGCTGATTGTGGTTCTTGAAAAGGCAATCATTGATGAGCACAAATGATAAGGCCATATCAAAATATTTAGAATCAAAACAATAGAACAATCCATATGACTTTTTATACCTGTTTGAATATGCACCAGAGTTTTATATCCATGAATTCCCATTTCAATACATTTACATTCTCTCAAATATTAATTACTCTTAGTAGCCAATATTTTTAAGGAACAAGAAATAAAATTATTTGCCAATCCAAGGACACCCTATTACATGTATCTTTAATTTGTTAACTGAATCAAAGTGTTGAAATCAAAGCCAATTAATTTCAATAATCCGCTCACACAACGCGAACAATTCAAAACAGAAATTCAATTTTTACTCCTATAGCGTAATACCAAAGGCACAATATTGATATTATTAATAATGAAGTATGCACGAAATTTAGAAGCACTGAACCTGTCTGGGCATTCCATCAAACACATGATACACAACCAGTTCACGTTCTGCAGCAAATATAAATTCCATGATAAGATGAGCGCAAGACCGAAAAATGCGCAGAGATTGATCAAAAACAATATTCATATCAGCTTCTTTTGCTCAAAAGTTGCAGGCCAACAAATCATATGCAATCATGTCTACCAAATTGATTTATCTCAAACAAATCATAGATCGAGCAAGCCAAGGTGGCTTATCTGAAACAAGCTTCAGGGCAGGGATTAGTAAGATGAAGCAAAGGCACACCTTGGGGAAGGCAACACCGGTGACTGCAGGGGGTCGGTGATGACGACGATCTTGTAGACGGGTTGCTGGCCGCCGGTCCTTCTCCTATCCTCCACACGTTCCTATTTGGGTGGATTAGATCAGAAGGGGCACACACCAATGGTAGAAGAGGAGAGATGCACCTACAGGGGAGGCACCACCAGGCGTTAGGTCTCGAAGGTGAGGTCGCCACCACCAGGTGCTAGGTCAAGGCCTCGGGGGTGAGGTTGCCACCACGTCCGTCCCTTACAGGTCCACCAGTTCACTGCCATCAGTGTTGAGGTGGGCCGCCGGTGCTCAGGAGACGTAGATGGAGAGGAAGACGCCGAGGCAACCCGGATCGAGAAGGGGGGGTCGCAACGCGTGTCGATGGAGGAGGCCATGGGCGGCGCTGCGGCCGGGGGCTTCATCGGCATGGTGCGCGGAGGCCATGGGCGGCGGTGGCTCGGGCGGATGGTTCGCGGCAGGGAGGGAGAGCGGGCGGTATCCAGCTGTGGGCGGGCACGGGAGCCGAGCGGGCGCGTGCGGCGGTGGCGCAGTGAGGGTGACCATGGGGGCGCGGTGGATGCGGAGCATCACGGAGCAAGGTTCGTTCCTTTTGAATTTTGTCGCAAGGCACGGGCGTAGGAGGAGGGGTGCGGGATCGCAGTCGGACCGCGTAAATGTCGCACCAAAATGATATCTTTTTTACTTTTGAGAGATCCCCTGTGTGTTGGAGTCGCCGGAGTGGCTTCACCTTCGGGGTTGCTGCCGATTGCTTTGCCGAAGGTACGTGGCTCGGCGCTGCCGAACTTTGCATACCGATGATGGCTTTGCATTTTGCTAAGGTAGATTTCGCAACTACTGAAGGCTGCACGTAGCGAAAACTTAGGGCGCGTTTAGTTCCCAAAATTTTTTGGTTTTGACTACTATAGCATGTTCGTTTGTATTTGGTAATTAGTGTCCAATTATGGACTAATTAGGTTCGAAAGTTTCGTCTCGCGATTTCTCACCCAACTGTGTAATTAGTTTTTTTTCGTCTACATTTAATACTCCATACATGTGCTGTAAGATTCGATGTGACACTTTGAGGTGAAAATTTTTGGAATCTAAACAGTCCCTTAGCTGAAGTTGTATCTGCTTAGTACACGAATAGAGAACCAATGGGGGAATAGCTTTTATGCTAAAAATGAGTAGTGTGAAAAGAAAGCGATATCTATGGTTTTTGACAAGAAAACCAGTGCAAAAATGACTATGCAAGTTCTGGGAGGAGATATTCAGATATTTCTTGCGTGTGATGTCAGAGAGTCATGGTTTGTGATCCCTCGTTTTGGACAAAAACCAGGACGACGAATGTTGACATGTTTATTTGAAAGTTGACGTCGAAGTCTTCGCAAGATTCTCGCTATTCATCAAGAAACGCCGAAACCATCGCAACCTGACAAGAAGATGGCCCATTTGCCTTTTGCGGCGTGAAGACCTTCCACTACTTCCCAGCTGACCAAGTTCTCGCCGTGACGAAAACCGTCGATCTGCCATTTCGTCAGAGCGAAAAGATGAGAAGCGTTCGTCTTCCGGCACCAGTCCCTTAGTGACTCCATCATCTCGACCATGCGAAATGACAGGACAGGTCGGCCAAAGTGAACTACTCACGATAAGTAGTGACGGAAAGAATAGAAAGTAAAATTGATGTGATCTGGAAGCGAAATTGTAACGAGGATAAATGGCATGTTCGTTGGTTGGTGCTGGTGCTGATTTGGATTGGCTGGTGCTAGTTTTTGTTTAGAGAAAAACACTATTAGCTGGCTGAAACCAACAAGCGAACAAGTTGAAAACTTATCTGCCAAAAGCTGCTTCCGAAGTCTAGTGCAGAGAACCGTTGAGCTGGTTTGTCTCCTCTTGTGTGTTGCTGTGTTGCAGGGCCTTCTCTCGCCGGATGACACGGTGCCTTTGATCGAACTCAGCTGCTTGTGAAGAGTGCATCGCTTGTCATCTCTGCACCCCTGGCGAACACCTGGCAGACTGGCGAGCACCCCTGGCCGGCCTCATTGTTGTCTCGCCATTTCGTCAGGGCGAAATGGTAAAACTGACTTGACCCTGCTTGCGAGCACCTACGCGAACGCCTCCGAAAGGCTCTTGGCTGAAGAGACGAAGGGCTCCTTCTGCCGAAACCTACTTCTGTGTTGCGAAATGTATGGAGAAGCACAAATACCCACGGGTCTCTTGCTCTCTCCTGAACGAAACCTGCTACTCGGTCGTGAAAAAATTCGAGCCGAAAAGGTGGGCACCTTCTGGAGACTTCTGAAATTGTTTTCATCGCGGATAATTACGATTAAATCTGACAATTGGGTCCACCTTGCTGGTTTTCTGAATAAATCCTCCTATAAACACTGATTCACCAAAACTTGTGAAATTCATTAGTTTAAACCCCTAAACCTATGTTTAGTGATGGAATTAAATATATACGTAAGATATGTTAACGGTTTGTAATTAATGTTAATGAGCGTCAACAAACTCTCCCAAGCTTAACCCTTGTCAGTTCCTAAGCAAAGTTAAACTCAGCAATGGATCAAGAGTTGCTACAATGTTTTCACTCCTCAAAAATACACATGTGTTTATTGATATTTATTAACTAGTCACTTGTTTAAGTAGCCACCTAATGTTGTTGAGATTTCTTAACATCACTTTTACTAAGTTATCATCCATAACTGTGATGCCAGAAATGTTTGTTGACATTCCTTAGCGTCACTTCTAGAATGACACTAAGAAGTACTTTAATATTTTATGTTACTAAAAAGAATGTAAATATATATATGAAGGGATCTGCAAGTGCACAAATAATATACCATTGTAGCACTTCACCCGGGAGTATTCCAGGTATTTCGTCATAGATATCGTTACAAACATAGCGCTTTTTTGCCCCGCCATCCGAACTATTTTTCAAACCGACGCGTTCAAAGTACACGTGTATGATGAAGAGGTCGACACGTGTATGACGATAAGGTTGACATGTGTATGGCAGAGAGGTTGACACTTGTATGATTACATGGTTGACACGTGACGTTCTCTTGTGCATTTACATGGCAGCACGAGGCTGATGACGTGGAAGCACATGAGCGATGACGTGGTAGCACGTGAGCAATGACATGGCATCTGTTACGTAATGACATTTGTTTTTCATCATAAAAATTTGACGAATTTAATATAATGCACCGACAGTACCATTCGTGCCCAGCCTCATCAATCATTCTAGAAATAGAACTTATTTTCACACATCCAGCACAAGTTCATACATAAGCACAAACGTAGGTTCATACATCACAAACTTAATGTTCATACAACCAAAGTTCCCAAACATAGGGAACCACAAGTTCATAAGTTTACACACATCATTGGTTCACATCATTGGAACCACTTGTTCACAAACAAATCAGTTCCCAAGCAAAGGTACCAAGTTCACAAGCGACATAACCGACAAAGTTCATAGGCGACGTAACCACATTGCTCAGCACCAGGGCACTACAGAGGAACCCAGCAAGCACAGGAACAAACAAGCTAAGTAGCTCTATTACTTGAGTTGAGGTTCAAGATGCACTGAAGGATCAGATCATTCGTTTCTTGTTTCTTCTTGAACTCCTCCGTCTCTTGCTGGGTCCTGAGCACAACTTCTTGGGTCTTGGCAAATGATTCTTCTATTTCTTTACCTTTCTTCTTTAGGGTGTCGAGTTCTTGTTGAAGTAGATCAGCCCGTGTCTTCTCTACCTGTAGTTGTTCCCGAAGTTGTGCTTCTCTTACAGCTGATGCAGTAGATTTTGACCCTAGTGTTTCAAGACTAGCATTCCTCAGGAATGTAGAAGCAACACTAGTTTGTGACAGGACCTTGGAAACAATTTCAGTACTAAATCTTGGTGTCTCTAAACCTTCAACAGGTTGGGCCAACATATTTTCCATGGCACTCTACAGCATAAAGATGCAAAAATAATAAGTTAATTATATAGAATCCATGTTATAAGCAAAGATATGAAAATCATCAGAGAATCCTTGTTACAAGTAAAGATATGAAAATCATCAGAAAACATATAGGTGCATATATATATATATATATATATATATATATATATATATATATATATATATATATATATATATATATATATATATATATATATATATATATATATATGTGTGTGTGTGTGTGTGTGTGTGTGTGTGTGTAAGCACTTGAGCTGAATTTACATTAACTTGTCATGACACATTACAGATATGAACATCCTATCCAATAACTTCTCATTTCAGCAAGCATATGAGCACAGATATGAAAATCATCACAGAACATATATATATAATGTGTGTGTGTAAGCACTTGAGCTGAATTTGCGTTAACTTGCCATGACACATTTTAGATTTAACATCCTATCCAATAACTTTCCATTCCAGCAAGCATATGAGAATCCATGCACACAAAACATATAGCTGCATATATAGGTGTAAGCATGTATGAACATATTTTCTATGTACTACTCCCAGCCAGCAATCATATGTTAGTCCCATCTAGCAACCATTTTCACAAGCACAGATAGGACCATTCACACACGTCATACAAATGAGCATCCTTTCCAATTGTTAATCCCATCTAGCAACCAATTATGAATATAAATTGATATATGTACTCAACCCATCCAGCAATGATGTGTAGGGACTTACAACTATCTCTTTGACTTGATCTGTCATACCCTTCTTGTTGGTATGGCATTCCTTGAACATCTCCACTGCATTGATGTCTCGTTCCTTGTGTTTTCTCCCTCTGTATTTAGTTTGAGAAAGAAATGCAGAAAAATTAGCTTTTGTATCTACACACAAATAGAAAATGTATTGTACCAGATTTTTAGCACTTACATATGTGTACAAGTGCGAGATGTAGCTACGAGATCCCATCGACTGATGGTGTTTGACCTTAGTACGGTTGCGCTTGTTCTTCGCAGCTATTTCCTGAAAGGCAAACATGTAAGTTGCAGATAAAATAGACAAAATAGAGAAGTTGTTGTCTTATGGAACATCATACCTTCCCTTTTGGACTAGACCACTTAGCCATGAGTTTAAGCCACTAGTCATTAGTCAGACTCGAAACAGGGGAAGTTGTTCGGACTTGATTACCTGGGACACCGATGAAGTACTTCTTCTTCAATATCTACTCTGGTGTACCCCAGATTGGAGTAGATTGGTGCAGGCTTGCTCTGTTGGCTCATCATTTTCGTCAACTGCCAAGCTGGTCTGTAGAAGTCAATAAGCCATGAGATTTAGCTATTAGCATTTGATACAATGACTTATGGAAAGTACCAAATAGATATGGAAGGTATCGATTTACTTACGGATAAGCGGCACATGAATTCTTTCAAATGGTTTTCTTCATCCTTCTTGTATTCTTTCCAAGTGAGTTAGGATAGGCATCTTTGGGCCAAATGACAAGTCCGACCTCTGAAGCTAGCTTAGCAGCTTATCTGGGCTTCTCGAGGCCTTTTTTGGGAGCAATTTCAATCGGCAACCTTCTTCCCATAGCCTTTGTCATATTGTGCAGCAATTTGCCCTTTGTTGGCAGTCTTAGTTGTCTTGGAGCACGTTGTGGACCTACAAAGTTTTGTTGAGAGTGTTAGAGTAGTCCATGTTAAATCAAAGAATGTGAGAATGCATGATCTGTTACTTTCCTTGAGAACAGTCTCTAACTGCTCGAGAGAGCATGTTCATCTGCATTAGTTTGCTCATCAAAAGCAGACCAGTCCAGAATAGGACTGGCGGGATGATCTTCTTCTTTGCCTTGCACCACAGGGGCTGTGTCATTGTCCTCGGGCTATGGATTTAACTGGTCCTCAGCACTGTCGTGTTGGAAGTTGGTGCTGTACTTTTTTCTAGACCTTGTTGAAACTCTAGGAACTGTATCGCTTCCTAGAGTTGCCCTCACCCTTTTCGTTCCACCTGGAGGCATCCTGGTCTTCTTCTTCTTGGTTAGTCGACCCCGCTTGTTGTTGTTGTTGTCAATTTCCTAACACACAAGGGAAAATCTGTTATTAGAACTTGAATGAAAATAAGTATCATAATATATATCGGATAGCGTGATGCAAAAACCCCCAACCAAGTTTGAAAAGAGACCTTTTCTACGCTAGTATTAACACATTCATCATCGTCTTCCTGGCCCTCTTCAGCTCCAGGAAGATATTTGGATGAATCTGACCGCTCATCAGGAACATTCTTGTGTGTTTGCTTGTTCAGATTCTGAGAACTTGCATTACAAAGAGAAGCGACCAAGGTAGGGAGACCCAAGGCTGCCATCTTCTTGTTGTTCTCCTTGATTTGCAAGTCCCGAAGCCATTCATAGTATCCTATTTGTAAACAAATTTTAATCCAATTGATCCCTAAACCCTAAACCCTAAACCTAAACCTTAAACCCTATCTAGTAGAAGGCCTACCTAGATAACTAGAAGACGGCGCTACACAGGGGAACCAATTATGAAGAACAAAACCCTAAACCCTAAAATGAGAAGCACTTGGCAGAACCTAAGCTTGGGGGCAGTGGCGTGTTGCGGCCCATTTAGGCATCTTTGATGGTTGGCTCCGGAGGGGTGGGACGTCGTGGTGTGGCTCATACATCTCCATCTCCGGTGGGTTGCACATTGCAGGTCATAGCTCTCTCTGTTTGTCTCCATTGAATGTCGTGCTTCAGGTTGCGGTGGAGTGGATCTAGGTGGCGGAGAGTGGATGCAGGCGTGGCGTGTAGTGGTCATGATCACGAGGGTGGCGGTGGAGTGGCTCTAGGACGGTGGTAGAGGCAAGAGAGAGTGGATCTAGGGCAACGGCGGAGTGGATCTAGGAGGAAGATTGGTGGAGTTGAGTTAGGGGTGGCGGCGAAGTGGGTCTAGGTGGCGGTTGTCGGAGTGGATGCAGGAGGAGGAGGTCCGTGGCGGAGTGGATCTAGGAGGTAAAAGTGGCGGTGGCAGGCGGAAACGAAATGAGGTGGCTACTGCTAGGTCTCGGCCCGATGGGAGGGATTGACAAATATATAGTGCTCGATAAAGTTACTATTTTTATCCCTAGTCTACTATTTCAGGAGCCGTCATGTGGGAGGGGAAGAGGGGTTTTTTGCACCACCAAAAATTGGGCGGAGAGAAGCGTGCCGACGCCAGAAGTGTTAGGCGGGAGCTGGAAAGCATTTTCTTTTTTTTAGAATAAAACTGAGTGGTTTTTTCTTTTTGTGTGTTTGTACTGTTGAAGTGTAAAATGATATTTGTTTGTACGAATTTGACATCAATTTCTATGTGTTTGGGATACAAAGTATTTTTGTATATAATGATATTTTTATGGTAGTTTACTAGTTTACAATGTTATTTTTTAGTACTTGTAACCTTCTTTGATATATCAAGGACAAATTCTGGACTCATTAGATGTGAAAGATGAAAACCTTCTCTGTTGTACACGTTAAATGTGCATGATGATAATATTTGAGGTCTCAAATTATAGGGAGACATACATGATCCCTTATTTTTGTAGCTATATACACATACACATTGTGCTTAACTATAATGTGTGCATGAATGAATCTAAACACTTAATAAGTTGATTAGCACTTCATAAGATCACATACAATGTGTGCATGAATGAGTTGGTTAGCACTTCATAAGATCATATACGTGCATATGCTTGGATTACTTCATAATGCTTTGTTACTATATAACACACACACATATCGCTAATACGCACTTCATAAGATAAGATCATATACAAGCTTGGTTATATCAACACACATAGTTATGCACTTCAATTGATAAGATCATATACATGCTTGGTTATATCAACACACATAGCTCTATGATGTGTAAGATCGTATGCACTTCATATACATGTTGGTGTACTTATACACTTGATATGGACCATACGATGACCATTAGAGTGCGAGTTTTACAATTATTGTACTTTAATGTAGGACTTGAACATTGCATTTTAAATCCAGTTCAGATTAGATTCAAAATGAGCTGAAATCTTGGATTTGACCACAATTTGACCAACATGGACCCACCAGTCAGCCGCACCCCATGCTAAAGCGAGTCCAGCCATATGAAGGACTGACCTCAATGGACCCTATCAGCCTCTAGTCCCAATAGTCTGATATCCCCCCAATCCCTCCCCAAATCCCCGAATCCCCCAAATCGGCCAGGCGCCGCCCGAGTAGTTTTGATGCCTCGCCGCTCAACAAGCCGCGCCACCGGCCACCACACGCCGCAACACCGGTCAGCACACGCCCCCGCTGTGCACCCATAGCACCGGCCACCAGCCGCCGCACAACCGGTCAGCACCTGCCCCTGTCGGGCACCCACTCCATCGTCCACCACCCGCTGCACCGTAGCCGTGCCCCCACTCCACCGGCCAAGACCTACCGCACCATAGCCATGCCCCCACACCACCGGCAACCAACCGCCACACCATTGGACACCACCCGCCACCGTCGTGCACCCACTCCATCGGTCACCTCACTCCACCGACTAGGGTTAGAGCTCCATGGCAACCACCGCTGGTTCAAGTTCATCGCGGAGCTCCATGGAGCAGTTCGGGGAGCGGTCTAGGGAGCGGTCCTCATACTCCTCTCTAATTCCCTATCGCCATCCCCCCTACTCATACACACTGGCTATGAACTGCTACTGCAGTCAGAAGACTCCTAGGTAGATCTCATGGAGTAATGGGAATCTAGGAAGGAGGTACCATTCATGCTACAAATATCGGGTGAGTTCAATTTACATTGTGATGGGGTGATTTGAATCCAAGAAATAGCCTGTCTGACAATTTGCTAAATTGTTGTGGATGCAAGGATGGTGGATGCAGTTTTTGGATGTGGTTGGATCCCAAGCCAATAGATCATCAAATCAAAATCCTTGTTGATTTGCGAGATGCAGTTAAGGCCTTGCATAACAAGAACAAAACTCTAGAGCTAGAGAAGAATGAACTCAGTTTTTTGCTGGATGAAGCAACATGTGAAGAATGCCAAACTGGTGAAGGAGAAGGAGGAGGCCAGGGCATTTGTGAAGGAGCTTGAGGCCAAGGCACTTGCCAAGGAGCTGGAGGCCAAGGAGCTACAGGCCAAGCTACAGCTAGTGGCCTTGTTCAGTAAAGGTTCAAAGGCATGTTGTGGTTCAATGATCCTTCTTGCTGTGTTTTTGGCACTCCTGGTGGCCATGTTTAGTAAAGGTGCCGAGCCCCTGAAGCTACAGCTGCTATGAATGAGTTGTCTGAATGTATGAATTAGCTTAGTCTAAATTAGCTTAGTCAAAATTAGTTGTCAGAATGAGTTGTTGAATGTATGAGTTCCTGGTATCAATGTATGAAACTATGAGTTGTCTGAATTAGTTGTTGAATTGAGAAAATGTTGGCAACATCCAAAAAAATGACAAATTGTATGAATGAGTTCTTGATAGAATGCTCAATTGGTTTTACAGAATCTGTTACAATTCCATAACATCAACATAAAAAAAAGACAGTGAATTGCCAAAAAAGAGTCACCGTTACAAATGTTTGTGCTCCATCAACATCCTAGAAAAAGACAGCTACAAATGACAGTTAATCTAATCATCATCATTACATTCCATGGATCCCTATCATTGTCACTAAAATACTCTAAGATAGTGTCATCTTCATAACCTTCAGAGTCACTATTTTCAGCATGTCTTCTTCCCTTCTATTGATAAGAACTTGTAAGTTACCAGCAGCAGTAGATTTCTCTCCATCTACATGTCGGTGCACTGGTGTAGGCTCATCTAAGCCATCATCATCATCATCATCATCATCATCTTGCACCACAAGCTCATTATCAGAACCAGTTTCATCTTGGTGAATAGTGCTCAATTATGTTTCATTGACATCATACATGCTCCTATGCTCAAATTTTTGGACAACACACCAATTTTCACCAAACTGTGTGTCCTACACGTAGAAGACCTTTTTTGATTGAGTTGCTAATGTAAATGGGTCTGACTTGTACCAAAACCTCTCTGTATTGATGGATCTAAGAAGGCCATCATCTCTAATGGTTCTAGCTTTGCCATCTTGACTGAACCACTCACACCGAAAAAGTACCACAGTTCGAATGAATTCAAAATTGGAGTTGTAGCTCAACTCAACTATCTCTTTGAGCTAACCATAAAATTCAATCGACACTCCATTATGTGTTCCATCCACCAGCACACCACTATTTTGTGTCTGCCTTTGTCTTTCATGGTCGATAGTGTTGTATTGAACACCATTCACACTGCATGATGCCCATAATTTCACTCTAAGGTTAGGACGACATGATATTGCATATAGGCCTTCACTAACCTCTTCACGATTATCCTTCCACAGCATCTTGATCTAATCAGACAACAAAATAAGTGAAAATTGAAATATATGAAAAGAATAATACAGGACAACATATGAAGTTAAAAATAAATCTAGAACCACTTACATGACTCCTAAACCAAGCAGGAAATTCCTTTTCCAACCTATTCTCAACATCATGGCCACCTTCTTTCTCTAACTCTTCTCTAAACTTGCTGCACACACAGTTCACAATATGTATTGGTCATGCATGTTTAGCATAGTTGTTTATTAGCACACACAATTTAGAAAAAAACACTCACCTTAAATATGGCTCTACCTCATCACAGTTGTTTAGGACATACCAACAAACCTTGTTAAATTCTTTGTCCTCAAATTATGTCTGCCTGTTGGCTCCCAAGAGTTTAACACCATGCTGGAAGATAGAGAGATAACCATCTAATGCTCCCTGATCCCATTTGTCATCATCCCAATTAAATCTAGTGACAACATCTTCCATGTACCTTGAACAAAAGGTCAAGTCCTCATTAGCTATGTATGCCTTAGTGATGGATCCTTCAGGTCTAGCCCTATTCCTCACATACCCCTTCAAAGTGCCTATTTGGCATTTGATCGGGTACATCCATCCATATTGGACAGAACCTCTTAGGAGTGCTTCATCAGGAAGGTGAAGCCAGCCAAGTGGACCATCACATCAAAAAGACAGGGAGAAAATATTTTCTCCACTTGCATAATATCACATGGATTTCTGCTTTTAGACGTTTCATTACATCATCCTTTAGTTTCCTCTTTGCAAAGCTCTGAAAAAATTTACCCAACTCTGCAACTGCTTCATATATGTCCTTGTGTACTAGTCCTCGGAGACCGACAGGTAAAATTCTTTGGAGCAGGATGTGGCAATCATGGGTTTTGAGGCCCTGCACCTAGGAACCATCTGCACTAATGCATCTTGTTAGGTTGGAAGCGTATCCATATGGAAACCGAATACTTTTTAGAAATCCACAAAATGCAACCCTTTCTTCTTTCTCCATGGCATACCATGCTGCTGGCATGGAAACTGAATTGCCATCATCTTGTTCTAAATGCAACTCCGGTCGTATGCCCATATCCTACAAATCAAGTCTCGCGTTAACTGTATCCTTATTCTTGCCCTCAAGATGGAGTATTATGCCCAGAAGGGCATCACATATATTCTTCTCTATATGCATCACATCAAGATTATGTGGTAGCTTCAAGTGTTTCCAATAAGGTAGTTTCCATAGAGCGGACTTTCGGCTAAATAATTTTGGCTCATTGTCCTTCTGTACACGCATCCTTTTCTTGCTACCATCAGGCTTACCAGGACTAACATCTTTTACCTTCTCTAGACACTCTAATGTCTCATCCATACTCAGCTTTTGTGGCTCAACCCGGTTTTCTCGGTGTCCATCAAAGGCCAAGCTTCTTCGCCACTTGTGAGTTTTTGGAAGGTAGAGACGGTGTCCAATGTAACATCTTTTTCCTAAGACTCCTTGACAATGTGTCTCTGTTGCAATAAATACATGCATAGTAACCTTTAGTAATTCGCCCTAACAATACACCCAAAGCTAGATAATCATGGATGCACCATAGTACTGCAACACAAAGGTCAAACTTTGAACCAGTGAATGCATCATAAGTTCTGACACCATCCCAGAGTTTTAACAAATCCTCAATGAGAAGTTCTAAGAATATGTTAGTCCTTGACTGGAGACTTTGGTCCTGGGATGACCAATGCCATGATGCAGTTGGAGGCATCGATGCATGATCATGTAGGTAGATTGTATACCTTTACAAGTACATGCCACATGCTATAAGTTGTGTTCATGTTCCCAGATGGATTGAACCCATCTATAGCTAAACCAAGCCTTAGGTTTCTTGCATCTCCAGCGAAGCTTGGATACACATCATCAAAGTCTTTCCAGGCTTTGGCATCGGCTGGATGGCTCATTACATTTTCCACAGGAACCCGCCTATCCTTGTTCCACTAGGTCTCCTCAGATGTTGCTTTGTTTGCAAACATCCTCTTCAGCCTAGGTATAAGAGGAAAATATCTCAAAACCTTTTTAGGAAGCCGTTTGGCACCATCTGCATCTCCCACCTAGATTCCTTGCATTTTGGGTAGTTGTCTAGATTGGCAAGATCCTTCTGAAACAACACACAATTATTGTCACAAACATGGATTAACTCATATCTAAGGCCTAATTCTTTGAGATACTTCTTTGCTTTGTCATAAGAATTTGGAAGACCACAATTAGGGAATGACCCTGATAATAACTTCAATATTGCACTGAATGATGTGTTGCTGATCCTATAGAATGACTTGATATTTAGCATTCTGACTAGAAAAGAAAACCTAGACTGAACAGAACCCGGGCTAAGAGCATGTTTTGCATCTTCAATAACTTTCACAAACATAGGCTATTCTCCATCTTCTTGTACAGTTGTGTACAAGTCTGCAAGCATCTCTGCCATACCCTGATCATCTTCATTGTCGGGCTCATCCACATCCAACACATCACCTAGATGATAAGGTTCATTTGCACCCTCTACATATTCAACAATATCAGCATCAAAAGCTTCTCCATGGTGTACCCATCGAGTACATGTAGCTGATCATACATAGAGATAGACATGGTCATGCACATCTTTCTAACTCCATGAAGACTGATTCAGACAATTGCGACATGGGCAAGGTATAGCATCATCCGCATTGAATCTATCTCGAACAAAAGACATAAACTAATCAACACCGTCGATGAAGTCATCGCTGAACCAAGTAGCATGAATCCACGTTCTGTCCATCTACTGAATGCAACAACAATTACCTCTAATTAGCCATGTCTAAACAGCTATGAAATGCTATGAATTGTAGGCAATGGGAGAGGACAATACCTCCAAGTAGCTGAAGTAGCCGCCCTAGCACCCCATCTTGTCGCTGGTGCAGGCACCCACAGATGACCATTGCTGTAGCTGACGAAGCTGGCAGCTAGAGCACGCAGCAGTAGATGCCCACCGAAGCTGGCCGCAATAGTTGCCCACCAGAGCAGAGAAGCTGCAATAGCTACCCCCTGAAGCAACTACGCCACAGTAGGTGCCCACTAGAGCAGCGCGCTATACCAGAGCAGCTGCCACCAGCGCATCCCGTAGTAGCTGATGAAGCTAGCAGCCAGAGTAGGCAGTAGCAGATGCCCGCCGAAGTTGCCCACCAGAGCAGAGAAGCCACAACAACTACCCACGGAAGCAGCTACGCCACAACAGATGCCCGCCAGAGCAGCACGCTACACTAGAGCAGCTGCTCGCCAGTGCATCCTGCAGCAGCTGACCGTCGGAGTAGCTAGGCCAAAGTAGCTTGTAGCTGGAGCTACCCGCCGGAGCGGTCCGCCGGAGCTGGCCGTCGGAGAGGATCGCCAGAGATGCATGATGAAGAGGTCCGTCGTCAAAGCACCTGCTCCTAGCCCCTGCCCAATTGGATCTAGGTGGCAGCATGTAGGCACGATGGAAGGGTCATATGAATGATTCAAAAATCCAATAAGAAAAAAATATTCCCATCTCTTAACACGTCCAAACTCGTATTCTGATGGTAAGACAACTTGGCTATGAACTACAGGTGCCGGGTTTGATTCCCAGGAACTGCACATTTTTTTATAAATCCCACATTTATGATGAAAACCATCATCTGACATATGGGACCTAAACGGTGAAACTTTATAGTTTCACTTCTATGACAAAGCTCAGAACATTTGTATGACAATTTTTTCTGATTCGTCACAGTTGAACAAAGGGGTTGATGGCCAAACCAAGCATCCATGATGATCTAGGTAAAATCATCATTAATTAACCTTATTCAGTGACCAAAATCAGAATCGTCATTCCCAAAACATCATAG